CACAGCAGTAGGCTGCACACAGAGAGCCACCGCGAGTCTGAAGGCAAACCTCCATACGAATCCTCCAGAGCTTCGTCTCAAGGAAGGACACTGCCTGAGACCTCCAGCACCTGACTAGGTGCCTATACAGGTACCTTGGGTCCCTCCCAGAACTGACTCAGGAAGCCTAGGCACTCAGCATTGTTTTGGTTGAAAACACAATAAATTTGATTCTTCCTAGAAGCCTACTAAACAATTTACTTAAAAACACCTGCAGCCCATGTGCAAAGGGGACCAGACCTTGCCTGGTACATGAGGCCCCTTGACCACCTGAGTGTCTGTGGGGCAGGGAGGGGTCCTGCCTGGGGTTTGCACTCAGCCCCAGGGCATGTTCCCACACTGAAGGAGCATGGGCACTGGCCATACTGAACCTACAGAGAACTGTGGGAAGAGACCAAATCCATAGGATCTATGGCTTCCACACTTGGGCATGCTGCCCAAGACATGTATCAATAATGTTCCAGCAGGTTTGGCCCCATAGGGGTGCAGGCACTAGGACCTGTGATCAGCTAGGCTCTGGTGCTGGCTCTGCTGCTACACCGGAAGCACCCCGGCCTCCTCCTGGTCATTGTTCCCCTGGTTCCTGCTCAAGGCCCAAAGTGTAAACAGGATTAACAAGCAACAGATGGAAAAGTATGTTTCCCACGAAAAAAGGGGAGGAAGTTTAGAACGTGAAGACTGATCGTCCAGGTTGCTGGCATCATTCTGTCCATTTTTTTCTTCCCTTGTGTCATCCAGCAATTCCACTCTTTGGTTCAGCCCATCAGACCTGCCTGTGCTGAGCCAGCCCTATGGCCTGTGTCTGTAGTGGCCTCTGCCTATAGCGGCCTCTGCCTGCAGTGGCCTGAGGAGAGGCAGCCAGCCCATCTTGGAAGGATCTTAACCTCCATGCCAGCTACTTCTGCTCATGGTCCTCTGCTACGGCAGCCACCTCAATAGTGGCCGTGTGCTCCTCAGGCCCAGGGGCAGCTGCTGTAGGCACTGTCACAATGGTGCTGCCTGCAGGTGATGCCTGGGCCACATTCTGCAGGGTGGGTCCCAGGCCAGGCAGGGTGAGCAGCTGTAGTGGGCTGACCACCTTCAGCACTGTACTGCCATCCTGCATGGCAGCTGTGCTCAGGACTGTGAGGCTAGATGTGTCCGGATGGATCTCCACTGTGCTGGGAAAGGTAGAGCCAGAGGAGGCCAAAACTGTGTAGCCCCCAAGCAGCGGGGAGGCTGGTGAACTGGCTGGGGCAGCCTGAGGGGAGCCTTTGCCTAGGACAGTGGAGGGCAACGTAGACACAACTTTTCCAAGTGGCACGCTGGTCAGCTGGGACACAGGCATTCCTGGGCCAAGGGCAATCTGTGCAGATTGCGTAAGCACCTGGGAGGCCATGCCAGCTGGTCCAGATGTAGCCCGTGCAAGACGGGGTCGCTTCATAGGGGATGGCAGGGAGACTGGGGTCAATGTCATGAGCACGTTGCTGAGGTGCTGGGACTTGTGCTTCAGCTCCTTGGCACGGCGGCGGTGCTCATCACACTGCTGCTCCAGGGCTGCAGGGGACACAGAACATTACCACAGGGCACAGAGATGGGAACAGAACAGACATGTACCATCAGTGGGCAGATCACAATCCAGATGACCAGAAGGCTGCTTGCCAAAGGGAAGATCAACAGCAATGGGTCCCTTGATGGTCCTCAGGATGACCCAGACCCATATCTCTAAGGTGGAAGTGCTATGGGCCAAACCTTCCCCTCAGTATCAACATGTTCTAGTCAGTTTGACAAAGATGCTACTGGGCCAAAGCAGCTAAGTAAAAAGCCTATTCACTCACACACACACACACACACACACACACAAATGTGCGCACACCATAGAAGTCATATGTAGTGTACACATGTAAGTACTAACACCAGAGAGAACTTAGAATAACCAAATGCTATAGAGCAATCCAGTTCAAGCTGGAGCGAGTGGTCTTTTTCAATTCCTCTGCCATGTTCCTTTAAATTAAATAACAACTTGATTCATCATAGAAAGGTCAGTAAAGACCTATACTTTCTGCACTGGCAAAGTCTGGCCACAGCCACTGGAGTTTTACTGACATTTCCATGTGTGATGACTACATTCTGACTTCCTGCTCCTCAGAGGAAAAGCTTACCCATGTGACTGTGTCTCAGAAAAACAAGTAGACACACACAGTTAAGAGAGGTGAGTCTCTAGGCTCCCCAAATCCCACACTGCTGCCAGGCATACCTGCCAGGTCCCGGGCATACTGTTCCCTTGAACGGTCCATCTGGCACTTGTGGCTGGCCAGGACCTTCTTTACCAGATCCAGCATGCCAAAGTTCTGCACGATGTTGTTGAGGAGGACAGCATCTTAAAGAACAATGCCAAAACTTGGTGAAAATAGGGCTCCTCCCAGAAGACCTGGACCCCAGTGCTGGCCTGGATCCTGAGGGACCAGCCAGTAGGAGGAGTCAGCTCCACAGAAGTCTATGCTGCTTAACAAGAGACCCTCCCACTGCAAACTCCCTTCTGCACAGTGGGGTCCTGTGTTCATGTAGATTCTCCAACCTAGATGCATGTCAGGGCCTGGGACTAGCAGCAGAGAAACTCAGGCCCCCTTACCTCGGAGTTGTAGGGGTGGGTCCTGCACTCGCTGCTGCAGGCCTTTCATGGTCTCCTCCAGCTCCTGCTGGAACTCCTGTATGACCTCATCCAATAAACCAGCATCCTTCAGTCCCCGCCAGAAGGCAAATGTGTCATCTGTGAGGGAAGAAGAGAAGTAGGTGGGCAGAAGTACCAATGCATGGGATCATTGATAATAGGAAGTAGCAAAGGATATCATCCAAGAAGTTCCTATGACAGTCCTTAAGTCTAGTGGGTCAGTGGTTAAAGCCTTACCACTCAGGGTCAGGTCACAGTTGGATGGTTCCCACCATGGGAAGCTGACAGGCACATACCTCCAATGGCTGTGGTCCAGTCACCAGGGTCCTCGCAGGTCTCTATGGTGATGGTAGCAGGTGAGCCATTCACTGTAGGCAAGGCAGAGCTGCAGGTGAGTGTTGCTCTAAATGGCAACCCCTACACCCTTAAGTCCTGCTGATCCTCCTAAGGCTATTTGAATCCTTCCTTGCCACCCGTTTTCACAGAACTGACAAGCACAATACACTAGTGTAGCCAAAGTATATCTCTACTTCACAGTAAGTTTAGTTTTAATCACAGATGTCTTTAAACACGCAAAGAAAGAATATGAAAACATGCCTTGAGCCATCACCCAGCTTCAGCAATTCCCAACATTTTGCTCCTCTGGTTCTACATGCAATCTGACTCCACAAGTCCTTTCATCTGACCTGCGGAAACCTGGAAGGAAGCTCTCTGCCTACCTTGTTTCCCTCTCCTTGACTTTATGGGTTACCCTAGATTTCACCTTTGCCTCTTGACTAAATTTCATTGATGTCACAGTAATCCTAGAACCCATAATATTTCCATTTTTCTAAATCAGAAGAGACAAACCATCCATTCTGATTTATCCCCAAATTCTGGTGCCAACAAACCCAACTGTCTACATACTTTGCACTTGGCAGTTCTGGAATTCCTTTATGCACAGACTTGGCTTGAAGGCAGACTCAAAGACAGGCAGATATTCTAGAAAGCATTCCAACCTTACACACTGGCCTTTACCACTCATCAAAGATGCAGTGATCATGATTCTATACCTCAAATCAACTGAGCTGGAACACCTTTTACTAACTACATAATATCTACGTCAAAGGCTCTTAGAGATTCCAGGCTACAGAAACCAAATCCCCAGAAGAACTAAATCCTAACCTCAACTGTGCCCTTCCTAGGCACCACAGCCTTGATTGGAGGGTTCAGAAATCCCACTGCTCCCTCAGGAAATAGCATTAGCAGTTACCATTTGTCCTGGCCAGTCACAATGTTCTTTTCTCAGGACATCACAATTTATTGACCATTTACTCTATGAGCTATTCTACATAATTTTTTACATGAGACTTATAAAATAACTTTGTAATTGGCCATTTTGGCTGATCACCATCTCACTAAGGCTTACAGGAACAAGATCACAAACACTCTTCAGTTGTGATGAGATTACACACTATTAAAACACATCATTAGTTGGATGCCAGGCATGGTGGCGCACACCTTTAATTCTTGGGAGGCAGAGGCAGGTGGATCTCTGTGAGTTTCAGGCCAGCTGGGGCTACAGGGAGACCCTGTCTCCAAAAAAAAACCCGTTTCATTAGTTGGAAATATCACCAAGGTTGAAAATGTATTTACTATCCCATCCACCGAACCTTATAGTTAAGCTTACCCTAAGTGTGCTCAGAGTGGCCTCTGGTAAGCTATGACTGACTTTAACAAAGCAGGCCAGAAGGTCCTGGGCTAAACCCCCAAAACAGCTAGCAAGACCCCAACCACTCATTCCCACCACTGCCTTGTGCTCCAATGTGTTGCCAGAAGAGCTCTGTTCTGACCACCTAGTATACCTGGTGCTTTGGGTTCAAAAAGGAGCTAAGCAACAGATACCCTCAGATCATAGTAAACCATAAAAACATGGACTGAGGGAAGCACTGACAAACATCAGTCCCTATGTCCCTGGGTGTCCCTGGGCTTCTCAGGAGGACACAGCACCATCAAAAGAGCTATATCCTAATCTAACTCTGCCTAGTCTTGACCAGTCAGCCTGCAAAGAAGCACTCCACAAAGAACACAGGGCAGAACGACAAGGCTTCATGCCTTGGGCCTCATTCTCCTCCCTCATCCCCAGACATAGTGAGGCCCTTCAGTGAGCCCATCTGGTTAAACAGTAAATTCAACTAAACATGGAAGCACATGCCAGTTCAATACTGTAGAATGATAGCTTAGGGATAGTAAGTGACATTGCTAGAAAGAACATGGCCCAACATCACCAGGTAACACAATAAGGAGCTCAGGACCCAACTTCACTCTTGCCTCAGTTTATAAAAGAACACCTCACTCAGAAGCTGGATGGAATTCCAGAAATAGTCAACCTTTCCACAATTCTGAAGGGTGGATATCAACATAGAAGAATATCTAAATCATCACCCAAAATCCAAGTGTCAGAGACCTGCAGTCAGACACCAGCAAGAGATCTGAGAAGGACATAGCTCTACAAATTACCAAGCACCAAGGAAAATACACTTCTACCTGGGAGAGAACATGCCTGAGGACATAGGCAGTCCCCTCAGCATTCCTAATACAAGCACTACATGTGAATGACTGTCTTACAATGAAAATGACCGAAAAGTACTTTAATCTTCCCTATTAGCAAACCCAGAAAGTCCCCAGATATGCTTCCAGGAAAGATGCAAGGGAGGGGGCTGACCCAACACTGTAGGGCCCTATGTGAAAGAAGTGCTACCCATGAGGCGCAGGCAAGGTATACAACGGCAGCCAGAGGGGGCTGCAGTGACCTGCAAGACTGGCAGCCTCTTGCACCTACCATCAGCTGTAGCCGGTGTAAGTGGGATGTACTCTGTGGATGTGGGACTGCTCAGGGACACACGGGCCCCAGACAGGTCAATCTTTGTGCTACGGCAGGTATTAGAGCAGACCTTATCATGCTGGTAGAAGTCTAGCTCCCCAGAGTCCATGATCTTCCTGTGGAGAGACCAAAGCAGCCCAGGTAAGACCCAACCCCAAATACCTTATCCACTATTGTGACTTGGATTGCCTAACTGCAGGGGACAGGTTCCAGCAAAGCACCAACTACAGCTATGCTCCTCTAAAGGTAGGATCCTAGCAACTTTCCCTGTGCATAAAACTTGAATAGGAATGTACTACAGGTGACACAGACACCCCAGGCTACCTACACAGCATTCTGTCCACAGGAAAAAGATGAAAGCACTGGTTAGCAAATGTCCATACTGTGACTATGCCCTTAGGAAGCAAACCTAGAGCTAAGAAAGGTGATAAGTGGCCCAGTCCTGTGGCAGAGAGGCAAGAATCACCACCTCCAGAGGAAGCCTTGCCTTTCAGAAGGTAGAGACAGGAAAGGAAAGCCTTCAACGTTGTCCAAGGCTATAGTCACTTATTCTCACCTTACAAGGGTCTTCCCTCCCAGGCATTCTCTCTAGCCTCTGTGAGGTCTTGGAGCTAAACTTGGCATATTTCAGCCAGCATGTCACAATCCATGAACAGAAGATCACAGGTTCTAGCTTCACCCAGCCCATGGGCACCACTAGCCTCAGGCACATCTGCAGCTCCCAACATATATCCCTCAGCCTGTGGTCTCCACAGTTATGCCACCCAGTTACATTCTAAAAAACCAGAGTTTCTCAGAGGTATAAGGCTGAGAACTAGGAGAATGGACCCAGGGCTGGTCACTCTGAGGCTAAACTCTGACTCTGACACAAAGCAGTGCACCTGCTTGGAAAGCAAGGTGGGCACTGGCTGCTAGCACCCTCCCTGTCGGGCCCATTGATTTCTAGATACACATAAAGAGATGTGGCTTTCAGTTTACAAAGAATAGATGTAAGCCTGGCGTGGCCTACTGCTTACCTGTTTACTTCACATGAGACTTTAGTAAAAAGTAACTAAAAAAAAGACAGAAGGATGATATAAAGGGCTATGTTAAGAAATTAAACCTCACTCAGGAGGCAGAGGTAGGCAGATCTCTGTGAGTTCAAGGTCAGTCTGGTCTACATAGTGAGTTCCAGGCCAGCTGGGGCTACAGGGAGACCCTGTCTCAAAAAGACCAAAAAAAGAAAAAGAAATTAAACCTAAACGCCTACCTGATGCACAAATACCAGATTATACCTTTAATTTTCTGTAATAGTGATATATTCAAGAACCCTCCCTAACCCCCTAATCCCTATCCCCTGCCTGACCACCAGGTAAAGAACTGGTGAAAATTAAAATGAGATTTAATGTAGAACATGGTAGTACACACCTTTAATCCCAGTAGTTGGGAGGCAGAGGTAGGTGGTTCTCTGTGAGATCAAGGCCAGCCTAGTCTACATAACAAGTTCTAGGCCAACTGGGGCTACAGGGAGACTCTGTCTCAAACACCCCACCCCCCAAAAAAGAAAGAAAAAAACAAAAAGAAAATGAGGTTTAACAAAAATTAAAACAAAAAACCTCTAGAAGTTTGATAGTGTCACTGCCAGGAGGTTAGGGTAGCCACATGAGAGTTAGGTCACATCAGAGGGAACTGTTGGCACTCACATCTAAAATACACCTCATTTTCAACTAATCAAGGACAGATGGCTCAGTGGTTAAGAGAACTTGCTGCTCTTGTAAAAGACCATGGTTTGGTTCCCAGCACCCACATCAGGTGGTTCACAACTGTCTTTACTTCCAGTTCCAGGGGATCTGTTGCCCTCTTTTGGTAACCACAGATGCATGTGGTACACATATATACATGCAGGCAAAACACTCATATATGTAATATATAAAAAAATAAGCCTGGCATGCTGGCACATGCCTTTAATCCCAGCACTTGGGAGGCAGAGGCAGGTGGATCTCTGTGAATTCAAGGCCAGCCTAGTCTACATAGTGAGTTCCAGGACAGCTGGGGCTACAGGGAGACCCTTTCTCAAAAAGACCCCAAAAATAAAAAAAATCTAGCTGAGTGTGGTAGCACATGCCTTTATTCCCAGCACTCGGGAGGCACAGGCAGGCTGATCTCTGTGAGTTTGAGGCCAGCCTGGTCTCCATTAGCGAATCCAGGCCAGCTGCGGCTACAGGGAGATCTTGTCTCAAAAAGACCAAAATAATAATAATCATCATCATCATCATCATCATCATCATCATCATCTAAAACCACAATGGCCATGAACCCCGCCCATCATCCTAAGCTGGTCAGATGCCCACCTGAGCATGATGCCATTCATCCGGATGGCTCTCTTCCAATCCTTCAAGGTAGATTTCCCTGCCAGGTGCACGAACTCCTTTGGGCTGATCACATGTTCGTCATACTAGAAAGAAGCACAGGAAGTCCTGGACTGTCTCAGACAAACACAGATCTGGTGAAGCATAGCCTCCTCTCTCCTACTCAAGCCTGCACCCAGGGTTCACAGGAAGGAAGAGAGCCACAGCATGGCTCTTCCAGCCATAGGCCTCATACATACATTTTAATACTGTGTTCCACTAGAATATGTCCCAGTGGACAGTGCCCAGGGTGAGGGTGAGCTCTCTGACACTTGGCATGCTGCAGCTCCACAAAAATGTACTGTATGCAAGATGAGGGAAGGCAGCCCAAAGCACAGAGCTTGAGATGTATTCTTCCTCCAGACAGGACACAGAAAATCTCCTATGGGCAATTTATTCTATGTGCTATATACCTCCATCAGTTCAGAAAATGTGATATTAATCCAGACATAAGCATACAGCCTGCCTGTGATGTGAATGACCCCTGACCTGAACAGGCCCACTGCCAAATCACAGGCACACAGGCATCAGTATCCTGCTGACCCTCCAGTGCTCTGGGGCTTGCTAGTGTCTCATCCACCTTGAGTGCTGAAAGTCTAAAAAGGTGAGAGATACTATTAATCTTCTTAAACAAGCAATAACTGGACCAAAGAATGAAAATAAAGCTGTATTTACTTAGAAAACAAGAAGACTGAGACAAACAAGTTGTAGGGCCCCAGAGGATGCCTCTCCTGGGCAACCAGCAAGGGGAATCTTAGCAGGCAGCATGATCACAGCTGCCATGACCAATCTGGGGAACACCTGCTGATGGAAGTACACTCTTAATTCCCTGAGCATCAGTGTAGCTCTCATTGCTCAGAACAGCAGGAAAGAACGTTCCTCACACAGCCAATCAGAGTAGCTCTGGAAGATCACTGTAGCCACCAACACCCAGCCACTCATCTTGACACTACCTGTGCTCACCTGACCCTGCTCAAGCCGTGTGCACTGGCTCAGAGAGCCTATTCTACTTGCTGGCCCTTCCCTTTCCTGACCTCATGTGGGGTGATGACTACCTCTATTTCTTCTGGAACGTTCTACTCTCTAGGCCCTAGGCTAGGCTCAGGCTCTAGGCTCTGAGCACATTACAGTGGGCTGTCAGAGTGCACTAGACACTGGGCACCACTATGTAGTCAGCATTTCTTCTTGTTTTTTTGTTGTTGTTGTCCTGTTTTTTGAGACAGAGCCTTACAATACAGCCATGATTGGTCTAGTATTCACTATGTGGCCCAGGCTGGTCTCAAACCCATAGGAATCCTCCTGACTCCTCCCAAGTGCTAAGATTACAGGTGTAGACCACCGTACCTGGCCATCCAATACTTTATCAGTGCTGGACAATTGAATGTGTGGGATCTGCCCTCACATCCTCATCCTCTACTCTTCCTTGCGCCCCATGCTTCTGTCTGGGACCTCTTTTCCTCTGCCTGAAACAGACTCAGAGCATCCCTTTGGGAAGATTTGTTGATAGCAACTCAGTTTTGTCTGAAAATGTTTCATACTTACTTTCAAAGATAACTTTACGATCACTCTTTCTCATCACAGGGAGGACCCAGCACTATATAACCTCCACCTCTAACCCCCATTCTTTTGGAGTTCTCCTGAACAATCTCTGCTCTTTGGCCATTTTTCTTTTGGGGTTTTTTGTTATCTTTGTATTGGGGATTGAACACAGAGACTCTCACATGCCAGGCAAGCATTCTATCACTGAGCTACATCCCCAACTTCCTGGTCACCTATAGAATTTTATTTAACCCTAGTACTCTGGTGCTTCACCACGATACCACTTACAGCACATTTTTTTTTTTTTTTGAATCTAACTTTTTATTTTGATATAATTTCAAACTTACAAGATAACCGCAAGGATAGTCTGGGGACCTCTATACACCCTTTTCAGAATCACAACTATTTCACCTGGCTCTTCTGCATTATCACCATCTATACAGGCATGTACCTGTCACCTCTTCTGGACTGGTAAGATCCCCAGCCCTCAACCCCAGAGTGCATAGGCCTAGGCTACCTAGAAACAAGGTGCTTTGACAACCATCCAACAGTTCCCCAAATCAGGAAATTATCATCAGCACCTTCTTATCCATATTCAAAGGTACCAACTGTCCCAATTATAGCCTTTGTCCCTGTTTTCTCTTGATAAAAGACACAACCCAAGACTGGTCACAAGGTTCATGAGGCTCTTTTGCCATAAAACTGCTTCCCAGCCTGCCTTTACCTTGGCGTTTTTGAAGCATGCAGGTCAGGTATTTTATAGTTCTGTCTCCCAATTTGTGTTTCAAGTTTTTCTCAGGAGTAAAGTCAAAACTGTGAGTTTTAAGTAGGAATACCCAGGGATTCCTGCCTATAGATTCTATCGGGCAGTATGATAGCTGCCTCTCCCAGTAATCCCTGTCCATCTTGATAGCTGCTTGTCCTGAAGCTGAGGATGGCCACTTGGAGGGAGAGCATCTCATAGCTTCCTCACGGCAGCTGCTTCACTCTGTATTAGTGTGTGCCCTGTGGGGGATGCTCTGAGAAGACTCCTCACCTCACTTCACAACTAGTTTGTATTCACTGATGACTCCTAGTCTATCACTTCTGAGAGTTCATTGGCTGACATTCTCACAAAAAGTTCACTTCTCCCTATGCATATACATAATACAAGTGTACTTAATATATGTAAGAAAAGTGACACAAAAGACATTGCAATGGCCGGGCGTGGTGGCGCACACCTTTAGTCCTAGGCAGATCTCTGTGAGTTTTGAGGCCAACCTACTCTACAAAATGAGTTCCAGGCCAGCTTGGGCTACAGGGAGACCCTGTCTCCAAAAGACTAAAACAAAACAACAACAGAAAAAAACCAGACACTACTGCAATAAACAGCCTACTTCCTAATCATTGAGTTTTCACTGAGGACTCAGAAGCCTCCCCTTAAGCCCCTTGCTTCCTGACACTCTATCCCTACCTCCATCTGTTTTTTTCTGAAGCACCTTCCACTAGCCATTTCTACGGAGGGAAAAAAAGCTATTATTGTATGTCCACTATTCAAAACCTCTACTCTTCTGACATTGCTGCTGATGCAAGAAAGGACTAGCTTTCTGCTGGCACTGAGTTATATCCACAGTAAAAGTCATTAGAGAAATGCAGGAAGACCCTTACTACAATCCAAGAGATCACCAATGAATACAATCAAAGAAATTACTGAAGAAATTTTGGGATGTTTATGTGTTTATGAGCTTCCACACATGTGTAGAGCCCAGAGATCAACATCAGGTATCTTCTTCTCACTCTTAACCTTATTTTTTGAGATAGGACCTCTCATCAAACCTGAAGCTCACCAATTAAGACTAGTTGGCCCTAGAGATCCTTCTCTGCCTCCTCAGTGCTAGGTTTACAGCATGCACCACCATGCTCGGCTTTTTCCCATGGGTGCTGGGGTTTAATTAAGATCTTCATGCTTGCATAGTAAGCCTGTTACTGAGCAATCTGCAAAAGATGTTTTTATTTGTTTGGGGGGGGGCTTGATGATACTGGAGACTGAATCTAGGATCAGTCTTGCTAGATATGTGGTCTATCACTAAGTTATATCCTCAGCCCTATAGTAAAGGAATTTACCTACAATACTACTGTAGTTGGGCATTAAAGACATTGGTGAAGTAACTCAACTACAGGGTGGCCGGCACAAGAACAACTGCCAGCTCTTGGCAGAGATTGGATAGGCTAAGGATGATCAGATGAAGGTTTGTGGGTTTTAGGAAGCTTAAGTAAAGATTTCCTTGTAATGAGTAGAATTTTCTTTCTGTCCCTTGTCACAAGTTTAAAAACTTCACAGCTTATATAATAACCATTTGTGTGGGATCTGCTTTTAACTAAATGAGTATAATGTCTTCATGTAAAAAACTGAAAAGAGCCGGGCGTGGTGGCGCACGCCTTTAATCCCAGCACTTGGGAGGCAGAGGCAGGCAGATCTCTGTGAGTTCAAGGCCAGTCTGGTCTACAAAGGGAGTTCCAGAACAGCTAGGCTACAGGGAGACCCTGTCTCAAAAAAACCAAAAAAAAAAAAAAAAGCCTGAAAAGAGAACAAAACAAATCAAAAACCTTATCCTACTGAATTATAGCCACATACTATTATTTTTTTCTTGTCATGCCAAGATTATACCCAAGGTCTTATACATGTTAGGCAAGTGATCAGCCACTGAGGTAGAGCCCACTGTTATTCATTTTAATATTAAATTATCCCAGATGGGAGTTTTCTGTCCATCTTAGAGTCTTTCAGGTCCTTCAGATGATGGGCTGCAGTCTTCCCTCCTCATGAAGTCCTCAGACATGTCACGTTTTCTCCTGCTCCTCTCTGCCACCTTCTTGCATCTATGAACTGAGTTCCAAATGACAGCTTTGGTTCTGTCCTCCAGTTCACTACTCATTCCTTCAGTCATGTCAAATCTCTGGAACTGATCCACCAAGCTAATTCTAATTTTACTCATTTCCAGTTGTGTTTCTGTAAAACTTGTTTACACTTTACTCATGTTCAGGCTCTTCTTTCATTACTTGAGATAACTTAAAAATAATTTGGGGGACTTGGAAGAAGGCTCAATGGGTAGTATTTGCTACACTAACATAAGGACCAGTGTAGATTCCCAGAACCCATACAAAAAGCCAGGTATGGTGGTGCATGCCTGTAATCTCAATGCTGAGAAGGCAGAAATAGGAGGAATCCTAGGACTTTCTGGCAAACTAGTTGAGCCAAACAGGTGTGAAAGACTCTGTCTCAAAAAAAGGAAAAAGACAAAAGAAGTCAACCTGTGGCCTCCACAAACATGTGCATGTACATATACAAAAAAACATCTTTTAGCCAGGCATGGTGTCACATGCCTTTAATCCCAGCACTCAGAGGAGGCAGAGACAGGTAGATCTCTGTGAGTTCAAGGCCAGCCTGGTCTACATAGCCAGTTCCAGGCCGTTTCAAAAAAAAAAAAAAAAAAAAAAAAAAACCAAAAAAAACAAAAAAAACAAAACAAACATTTTTCTGAGGTTAGAAATGGTTCAGCAGTGAAGAGCACTGGGTTAACTCTTAACTGCTCTTGCAGAAGACTTGGGTTTGAATCCTAGAACCCACACAGCAGCTTACAACCATGCATAACTCCAGTTCCAGAGGATCCAATGCCCTCTTCTGACCTCCATGGGCACTGCACAACATGGATGCACTTAAATGCATAACACTCATACACATAAAAATTTTTTTTAATTTAAAATTTTTTTTTTAATTTCTATTTGTATCTTAAAATTCTAATGCCTGGGGCTGGGTGTCTCATTGATAAAACACTTGCCTAGCATGTATCTGGCCCTGGGTTCAATCCTCAGCACTGCAAGAAATGCAATCAGATGCCTGAATTTCTCCAGGTCTGATGCTGTCCACTGTTTCTGTGCATGCGCACTCAGGGCACCTTTCTTTCTGTGTCAAATGCTTTTCTTTTTCTGTGAAGGTTTTTTGTTGTTGTTGTTGTTCTTTTTGAGACAGGGTCTCCCTATAGCCCCAGCTGGCCTGGAACTGGCTATGTAGACCAGGCTGGCCTTGAACTCACAGAGATCTGCCTACCTCTGCCTCCCAAGTGCTGGGATTAAAGGCACGCCACCATGCCCAGCCTTTCTGTGAGGTTTTTCCTTAGAATTTTATAAACATTACTTGAGATGAAACTGAATTCCTCCAAACAGGAACTTTTACCTGCTTCTGTCAAATTCTGGGAGAAGTCAGGCCAGGAACCCCCTTTTTTTTGTCTTTTTGAGACTGGGTCTCCCTGTAGCCCCAGCTGTCCTGGAACTCACTATGTAGACCAGGCTGGCCTTGAACTCACAGAGATCCACCTGCCTCTGCCTCCCAAGTGCTAGAACTAAAAGTGTGCACCACCACGCCTGGCTAGGAACCACTTTAAAAAACAAAAATGTTTATTTAGTTTGGAGCTGGGTGTGGTATCACATGCCTTTAATCCCAGCACTTGGGAGGCAGAGGCAGGTGGATCTCTGTGAGTTCAAGGCCAGCCTGGTCTACATAGCCAGTTCCAGGCCAGCTGGCACTAAAGGGAGACCCAGTCTCAAAAAGACAAAAAAAAAAATTTACTTAGTATTTTTATTTTATGTGTAGGAGTGTATTCTATGCATGTATGTAAGTGTACCAGTGTCCTGCAATGCCTACAGAGGTCAGAAGAAGGCATCAGATACTCTGTAACTGGAGTTAGGATGGTTGTTAGCTACCATGTGGGTGCTGGAAATTGAACCTGGGTCCTCTGCAGGAGCAGACAGTGCTCTTAACCACTGAGTCATCTCTCCGGCACCAGGAACCACTAAGTCTCCTCTGATGGGGGTTCATCCACATAGCCACAGATGAGTGTTCTGAAGGGTGAGCCTCTGCCCTCCATTGCTCAAACAGGAGGTGCTGGCATTCCTGTTCAAAGTAGGCAGATGTCATCAATCCTCTTCTCAGAACAAACTTTAGAAAAGACAAGTCCTTTCCCTTACACACTCTATCAGGAGCCCTAGGCTTTACCTTCTTGTCCCCAGTCAGCAAAAGCTAGACTCAGCACTCTGTGCCACTCCACCCTCACTTGGAGCCTGGGCCTGGTGACCTTTACCTTTTTGCCAGTTTAAAAAAGCTTTATGAATATACCTTAGTGATAATTTTTAGCTAATTCAATATAAGATGAGGCTGGATACTAACCTAACATATTGCCAGAAAAAGAATGCCTTTCCCACTGTTCAACATTCCCCTGGCCACCTCATAAGTCTCTTCAGAACACATCTTATTCTGCCAAACAAATCCACTTGTGACACAGAGATCACAGCTTCTAGCACATAGGTTACACTGCCTTCTAACTAACCTCCACAGATTCCCCCCAGCAGAAATTACTGTTCCTGGAGGCTCTTCTTCCTCACTGCATTCATCTGCCCAAAGACTATCTTCTGTGGCTCCTCTGTCCTCCCAGACCCAGGAGATTCGGCCTCTGGAGTATCCAGCACAGGTTGCTCTCCCACCCTTACCACCCAAGCAGGAGGAAGTGCAGGTAAAGGTGTGCGCCTCACCTGACCCTCACCTGAACACATTTCACATTGATGCCAGGGCACACAAACTTCCTCCAAATCAGGTTAGCTCTGCTGTCTCCGCAAGTGATCGGGTACACAATTTCAGCCTCTAAGTTCTCCCCCTCTTCAGCCATCTTCACTTCTCACAGACACATAGACAAGAAAAGGTGGAAACAGAAAATCAGTTACAAGCTTTCCAAAGCACTTCCTGCAAATACAGAAAGCAGCTGCCAACATGAAACCAAAACTGAGTTCCAAGAAGGCCTGAAACAATCCAGGAGCTCTGTTTCCATCAGTTGTTCCCATCAATCCAAGTTGAGTTTCAGATGAAATCTACACAACAGATTTAACTATTATCAGTAACTATTAACAGCAATATTTATATAATCTCATTAAACTATGGTCAATTAAAGAGCCATTAAGAAAATAAAATCAAGCCATGGTTGAAAGACTACCAGGGAAACTTGGCCTTAGGGAATTCCTAAGCCTTTAATCTGAACAACATGAAGTACCACAGGTATTAAAAGAACACCCATCATCACTCACTGATAGCCATAGCAAACAGGGATGGAGAAAGTGGCAAGACAACAAACTCCAAAAGAGGAGAGAGCTTTGTGATTTGGGGCAACTTTTCTTTGTTCTTCCCACCAGTGGCTGGTAGAGGTGAGTGTCATTTCAGATACAACACACCTCATATAAGATGACCTGGGGCCTGGCCTCTCATGTGCCAGGGAACTACCTAGACAAGGGTCTTAGCCCTGGCTGTTACTTACCTTAATCACAGGACTGTCCTGTCTCTGCAATCAGAGTGGGAAGAGGGCAGGCTTCCCACCCAGTGCAGCTTCCCACCCAGTGCAGCTTCCCACCCTACAAAGTTTCCTACCTAACACGGCTTCCTTGAGTTGCGAAGAGGCTGTGAAGGCTGCAGCAGCTGCAGCTGCTGCATTTTCTGTCTCCATGTTATCTTCTGTCAAGTCACCCCTGGTAAATAGTGAAAGGCAGAAAAAGAATGTCAGAATCCCCAAGCACAAACTCTGAAGTCCCTGGTACACTTGCAGTGTAGAAGGATGCTATTCATTGCTGACAAGCCCACTACATCTTTCTAACCTTATTTAGAAATCACTGTGGCTGTGCAGAGGAAGATGTATAGATAAGTACCTATGACATCCTTAGGAGAACATGTGGCTTGCATTCTATGGTCCATTTTCTAAAAATTAATCAATCTTTATCTTTCTTTTTACTTTACGCATATGAGTGTTTTGCCTGCATCTATGTAAATGCACCACATGTGTGCAATGCCCAGAGACCAAAAGAGGGCATCAGATCCCCTGGAAATGGAGTTAGCTGCCATGTGGATGTTGGGAACTGAACCCTGAACCACTGCAAGAGCAGTCAGTACTCTTAACCACTAATGGCATGGGCAAGCAAAACCAACGTAAGGGATTTATGGAAGCAACAAATGCTTATATGGACATTCTAAACCCTTATTTCTTTCTTTAATAAAGTGTTCTACCTCCAATATAATACAATAATTATTTCATACTGTTACACAAACTAGGTAAATATATAAACTTCATACAGAGTTAAGAGAACAAACTTAGCCCTCACACATGCTAGGCAAGAGTTCTGCTGAGTCACAAACCCAGTCCAAAAAATACAAAATTTTTGAAAGAGAAAAGATTCACCATGACCTATCTTTATCTTATACCAAAATAAATTATGGACAAACCAAAAGCAAAGGCAAAAGGTGAAGCCATACAAGTACTAAAACAAAACGGTGGTATGAGGCACAGAGGGTGACTGGGAAGAGGTTATATGCAGAGGTATATGCAGTGTGAACACCAGTATGTGACTAGAAAACACTCTCAAGACTTTCCAGACATCCCTGGGGAGGATAATAGGTACCTAGAAGAGGCTGAGAGTACAGGAAAAGGTTGCTACTCAGGGTCAAGCAAACCTAGGCTGCTCAGTGCAGAGAAGAGGGAGCCATGGAGTTCAGCTATATATTATGCCTGGTACCCACAACTGCTTCATAAGTAAAGCACCCCCACTGTGGGCCTTCATGTTCAAAGCACCCCATAACCTCCAGCCCAGCCATTCCCTTCAAGAGCTTTATGCACTAGGAGCTTATAGCTCAGAGAACAGTCCCTGAACAGTGGACATATCTGTCCTAAGGGTTCATCCTAGTCTCTCACCTGGAATACTTGATGGTGGTGTCCAGTTACCACCCCCCGCCCCAGTACTCAAGATTTCACTTTGAACCAGGCCAGAAACAGTTGATTAGAAATACAAACTTGGAATCTGCCTTCTGGGACTTATTAAGAATGACTGTGATGGGAACAATAATTAATATTAAATGGGAGCACCTGGACTCCAAGAAGTCTGCAGAACTTGGAAAGGAAGCTGTCTTCCTGAGTCAGAACTGTGGACAATGCACAGGACAGTAACAGAACTGGAACATACACCCCACATGCAGCCATCCAAGACAAATTCTTCCAAGGAAGGAAGCCAGGAGTGAAAATGAGAGATGGGAAGCCTCCAGCTGGCTGTTTGGGGTCAGCAAAGAAACTCATTTGAGGCCATGAGAAAACAAAACTAACAACCCTCAGTAACTCCAGTTCTAGGGGATCTGACACCTTCTTCTGCCAATGTAAGACATGGGTGCACTTACATATATGCAGGCAAAACACTCATACACATTAAAAAAAAAAAAAAGTAATTGAAGCCAGGCGTGGTGGTGCACGCCTTTAATCCCAGCACTTGAGGGGCAGATGCAGGAGGATTTCTGTGAGATCAAGGCAGTCTGGTCTACATAGCAAGTTCTAGGCAAGCTGGGGCTATAAGGAGTCCCTGTCTCAAAAAAACAAAAAATAAAGTAAAAGGTACTGTTTTTAAAAAAGTTTTTAAAGTAAATGTGTGAGCTCCTAGCTCTCTATTGAGAGAGTAGGCAGAGCTGACCACGGCATGGTGGTGCCAGGCTTTGTAAATAAGGAGCACTCACTCTCCCAGTCTCCTCAAAATATCCATCAAGGAAGAAATCAGTGCCCACAAAATAATTTACTAGCTTCTACTCCATATCGTCTTTAAAAAGGTATACAGCAAGGGTTACACCTCATAGCATGATAATAGAAACAATTCCCCAACACAAATGGAAAAAGCCTCCTCATTTTTCAGGATATAATTGCTTGCTGGGCATGGTGGCACATACCTTTAATCCCAAGCAGAAACAGGTGGATCTCTGAATTCTAGGCTGGCCTGGTCTACATAATAAGTTCCAGTGAGGGCTACGTTGTAAGACCCTGTCTAAAAAACAAAAGTCCTGCTTTGGAGGATATGTGGGTCACTCCCAAAAACTTTACACATCCTGCCGGGCATGGTGGCACATGCCTTTAGTTCCAACACTTGGGAGGCAGAGGCAGGCAGATCTCTGTGAGTTCAAGGCCAGCCTGGTCTACATAGTGAGTTCCAGGACAGTTGGGGCTACAGGGAGACCCTGTCTCAAAAAGACCAAAAAAAAAAAAAACCTTTACACATCCCAAGAAGGCATTTACAGTCTTTCCTGTCCTGAAGAAAGGACTGGCCATTGGAGCAGCCCATGTGTGCCCTGGCACTATGGCCACAGATGGGAAGAGCCCTCCTCACCCTTCATGGTTTCTCTCATTGTAGTTGTTTTCTATTCTCCAACTTGACTTGGGCAACCTTTCATAAGCTTTACCAATGGGAGGGAAAAGGCTCTACAGTTCACAACCCTGCTGTTGGAATCTTCCACTATGAAAACACACCAAAGCAGGTGTCCTGATAGGTAAGAGCCACACACAGAGCCCATGCTCCAGGTATGGAGCAAGACTACCCAGACACCAGCCAAGCCCAGCAGCCTGGGCTAGGCCAACTCAACATACCAAGAAAGCAAGAAGCTCCGGCCACTCTACCCTATAAAAGTCTATGATGGTCTGACATATAATTTCTATAGCTAACACAGGAATTATGGCAAGCTGGGAGCTGCAATCTCTCCCTAAATGGCACACAACTGTCAGCAGACATTAGAAGAACAGGAGATACTGTAGCCACTGAGTTTCATGGCAGAGAAAATAATCTTGTATCTTGGCAATTCAGAAGGTGGAAAACATAGCAGATAAATGTGTGAATCTCATGAGGAATATCTCAGGCAAAATGCAGAATTCACAGGCAGTACAAGAAGTAAACTATGCTACATCTCCAACTGTCAAGTGAAAGACAGCTTCAGAGCAAACCAAAGTGTGCCTGTAAGGGCTTCCATTCAGCTTGCTAAGTTTTAAGGCAGTACCTGGCCAAAGGTTCCAAATACCTTCAAGACCTGCCCAAAAGGGCATCTAGAGGCCTACCTCAAAGAATTCACCACATGGCTTTTGAGCAGGCCTGTCTACTTGGCCTGCCTGTCTGTGCATGCTGGGTGCAGGGAGGGGGAATAATTCAAGGTTTTAGTTTCCAGGTCTGTCATCAAGAGATACTTTAACCACACACAGACCTAAAGTGGTCTGTGAAGCCAAGACCCTGAGGCCTGGTGCCGTAGCTGGACAAGATGTAGAGAGGTTTTGGGGAAACAGAGGAATGACTTGCCAGGGAGATGGTGGAGACTATAGAAGCAGCCATAGCATCTTTATAGAGGTTAGGTATCAAGTATCCCCCCGAAAAAGGTCTATGTGTTGGGGATCTGCCCCTAGCTGCTGACACTATTTTGGAAGGTAGAACCTAGATGGAAAAAAACAATCACTAAAAGGTAGACTTTGGGAGTACCTTGTCCCTGACCCCTTCCTGTCTCCCTCTCTCACTTTCCTTTCTCACCTTCTTGTCCCCCATGAAGCAAACTGCCTCCTCGTTCACATGTTCCCACCATCATGATGTTCTGTCCAAGGACATGAGGCCACGTACCATGGACTGACTCAACCTTCTGAAACCATGAGCCAAAATGAATCCTTCCTCCCTTAGGCTGTTTCTGTCAGGTATTTTGTCACAGTGACAGTAAGACCAACCATCTGAAACTTTCCCAATTCACAGGCAATCTTGGTCTGTGCATGGTCATTTATTTGACTCTAGTCAAAGGGAAACTGGCACACCTGAGGTCTGAGGCCTCCAGAAAAGAAATCCAGGCCACCTGGTCAGAGATGAGTCCTCACTACAGCCACCAGACTAGCAGCCTATCAATAAGATATGTGGCTGAGACCGTTTGAACCAAACCCAACAAATGACAGGGTCAGGGGTCAGATAGACAGCCTGAACCATAAAGAAGGGGCCAACTGGAAGAACTACAAGAAATAATAAATATACGTGTCTTAAGTTGACTCTGCCAGTCAGCACTCCCATATTCAAGACAGCCCCAGAAGTTGATCATTGTCACAGGCTGGCAAGATACCAACAGGGGAAGCTCTAAGCCCACAACTGTGTGGAAATAGCCCAAGAAGAGAGTGATACTGAAGGCTGGAGAGATGGCTCATCGCTTAAGAATACTAGCGATGCCAGGCGTGGTGGCACATGCCTTTAATCCCAGCACTTGGGAGGCAGAGGCAGATGTATCTCTGTGAGCTCCAGGCCAGCTGAGGCGAGTGAGGCCCTGTCTCAAAAAGACCAAAACAATTAAAAAAAAAAAAAGAGCACTGGCTATTCTTGCAGACGACCCAGGTTCAGTTCCCAGCACCCACATGGCAGCTAACAACTGTGCAGAACTTTAGTTGGGAGGGGATCTGACTCCCTTTCCTGGCATCCATGAGCAGTGCACTTACAATGCAGGCAATACACTCATACACATAAAAGAAAAAGAAAGAAAATATATTTTTTTAAAAAAGCAATATTGAACTGTGCATGGTAGTGCCTGCTTGTAATCTCAGCACTCAGGAGGTCAAACAAGAGGATCCCTTGAGTTCAGGCCAGTCTGGGCTACACAGTGAGTTCCAGGATAGCCTAGACTTCACAATGAGATCCTATCTAAAAAAAACTGGGTATGGTGGCACATACCTTTAATCCCAGTACTTAGGAGGCATGTGTCAAGGTGGCAGGTGGATCTAGGTTCCAGGCTAGTCTGGTCTACATAGTAAGTTCTACGTCTGCCAGAACTACATAGTGAGACCCTATCTCAAACAATAGCAACCACAAAAATGATCATGATATTGAAGAGTCCTTGATGTGGGACCGAGACCCTGTGTAGTGGTCTACTACAATGTTGGGATTTCAGTTGGGAAGATGCTATTAAAAGCCTGCCCTCCTGGTTTCCTCCCAGAAGCCTGAGTAAGGTAATACCCAGAGCTATGAAGTATAGCAAATGAACTTCTAACATGACCCTAGGGCAGGAAGCAGAAGCCACAGAGCCTATTCTACCCCAGAATAGGCCACACAATTTACCACAGGCTACCCAAAATCTGAAGGAAAGGGCTAGATACTGCTTCTGGGTGAGGGTATGAAAAAGTCAGAGCAAGAGCATATGAGATGTCAGAAAATACAGTATATTCAAAACATATAAAAGGAAACATCTAAGCCATGATTGAAGCCATTGATAAGCCAGTGGAAAATGCCATCGGAAGGTCCCACTTTAAAACCAACAGGGTCTTGTGTTGTACTCATAGAGCAGGGAGGGTGACACATAACCCAACTAGAAATAACCCAGGGTGAGCCCTGCACATACATGCACACTAGCTTATATCTTCCCTGAAGAAGACAGCTGGATGGGTCCAATGTCAGAGCTCCCGAGCAGCAGTTAAGTCCCTACTCTGCAGCTGTCAGCAAGTCATGCACATGAGCAGACCCAGCATCCTAGGCACACAGGGCAACATGGAGGGCAGCAAGGATTAGTCTAGAACCTTCCTTTTAAAAAATTCACCATTGCCGGGTATGGTAGCGCATGCCTTTAGTCCCAGCACTCAGGAGGCAGAGGCAGGTGGATCCTCTGTGAGTTCCAGGCCAGCCTGGTCTACAGAATGAGTTCCCGCCAGCTGGAGCTACAGTGAGACCCTGTCTCAAAAAGACCAAAAAAAAAAAAAAAAAGAAAATTCACTGTTGAGCCTAGAGAGATGGCTCAGCAATTAAGAACACTGGCTGCTGCTCTTGCGGAGAACGCTGGGATTTTGTTTTGGGTTTTTTTTTTTCGTTTTTTTGGTTTTTTCGGTCTTTTTTTTTTTAAAGGATACATTTAAAAACATATTTTATTTATTATTTTTATTTTATGTGCATGCATGTATTGCCTGCATGTAGGTAAGTGCACTCGTGCCATGAAATGCCTACGAGGACAGAAGAAGCTGTCAGATGCTCTGGGACTGGAGTTACAGACAGTTGTTAGCTGCCATGTGGGTGCTGGGATTCGAACCTGGGTCTTCTGCAAGAACAGTCAGTGTCTTAACTGCTGAACCATCTCTCTAGCCCCTTTTTGGTCTTTTTGAGACAGGTCTCCCTATAGCCCCAGCTGACCTGGAACTCACTATGTTGAACTCACAGAGATCCGCCTGCCTCTGCCTCCAAATGCTAGAATTAAAGGCATGCACCACCATGCCTGACCTAGAGGACCCTGTCTTTAAAAAAAATTTTAAGGGTTGAAGAGATGGCTAAGCAGTTAAGAGCACTGGCTATTCTTACAGAAGACCTGGTTTGAATCCCAGCACCCACATCTATAACTTCAGTTTCAAGGGATCTGACACCCTCTTCTGTCTTCCATGGGCACTGCATGACATGGGTGTACTTACAAACATGCAGGCATAACACTCATACACATAAAAAATAAATTAACTTAAAAATAAATAAATTTTTTTTTTTTGTCTTTTTGAAGCACGGTCTCCCTATAGCCCCAGCTTTCCTGAAACTCACTATGTAGACCAGGCTGGCCTTGAACTCTCAGAGATCCACCTGCCTCTGCCTCCCAAGTGCTGGGACTACAGGCATGCGCCACCATGCCCAGCTATAAAATAAATAATTTAAAAAAATGTTTTATTTATTATTTTTATTTTATGTGTATTGTGTATTGCCTGCATGTATGTGAGTGCACCCACATTGTGCAATGCCACGGAGGTCAGAAGAGGGCTTTGGATTCCCCTAGAACTGGAGTTAAGGATGGTTCATAACCGCCATGTGGGTGCTGGGAATCAAACCCGGGTCCTCTGCAAGAGCAGTCAGTGTTCTTAACCACTGAGCCATCTCTCCAGCCCCCCGAAAAAATAAATACATTTTTTTAAAGATCATCTATGTTCCATGAAACAATAGCATGACAATGCCACACAAGATGCAGCAAAGACATGCCAAAAGCTGAGGTCCAAGTCCCTCTGGGGAAGAAGAACAAGAACTCACATAGCCCCTAACTACTGCCCTCATCTCACCCTTGTCAGGGGCAAGAGTTACTCTGCCACCTCCTCCCAATTTTATGTATAGGTGACAAAAGGAAGATGGGAGTTTAGTCAAATGTAAACTTTTATGGTCAACTAATTCTCAATTCTGACATCTAGAACAAGAAATGATGAAGTAGGCTGGAGAGTGGCTCAGCAGTTAAGAGCACTGGTTACTCTTACACATGATGTGGGTTTGGTTCCCAGCACCCATATGGCAGCTAACAATTGGCAGTAACTCCAGTTCCAGAGAATTCAATACCCTTTCTGTCCTCCATGGGCACTGTAGACATGGGTGCACTTATATACATGTAAGCAAAACACTCGCACATATAAAATAAAAGGAAATTAAAAAATTTTTTTTTTTTGGTCTTTTTGAGACAGGGTCTCCCCAGCTGTCCTGGAACTCACTATGTAGACCAGGTTGGCCTCAAACTCACAGAGATCCGCCTGCCTCCGCCTCCTGAGTGCTAGGACTAAAGGCATGTGTCACCATGCCCGGCTTTAAAAAAAAATTTTTTTTAAAGATGAAGACAATGTTTAGATGCAACTGTTCCATTTATCAAAAAAGAAATCACCAAGTGGCTTAGAACCACATGGCCATGGTGAGGAGCTGAGGCATCACTTCAGAGTCTATTGATCCTCTTGTTTGATGTACTTTGCATTTGACCTTTGTGCCTAAGGTATACAGAGTACAATTTAAGAATCTCATATGTACCAGGCATGATGGCATACACCTTTAATCCCAGCACTTGGGAGGCAAAGGCAGACAGATCTCTGTGAGTCTGAGGCTAGCCTGGTTTACATAGAGAGTTCTAGGCCAACTGGGGCTACAGGGAGACCCTGTCTCAAAAGACACACACACACACACACACACACACACACACACACAAAAGCCTCACATGTACAGAAATCTTGAAGCTTGATCCCTACATCTGGCATACCAAATGTGCCACTATACCCTGGCAGGACTGAGGTTTAGTGCTTACCCATGAGGGGCTAGATTTGTTGTTACCAGCACTGTCTTCACTTCCTCCACACCACTGCCATCAACTGCAGTGTCTGGAGTTGTCACAACTACCACCTCCTCCATGTGGACGCTCACATCTGGGGTTGCCATGGCTCAGTGAAAGATGATGCCTGGGGTCAGCAGTATCACTCCTCTAGGGTTTCAAGTCCTGGAGAAAACAAAGCAAAGCACTGGTTACAAGGTAGTTTTCATACTGGCACAAAAGAACACCCAATGGCTGAGTGTAGCTCAATAGTGGAGAGCTTGTTAGGCATGCGCAAGGCCCTGAGTTACATCTCTAGCACTGGGAGGAAAAAAAAAAAAGCAAGAAGGGAGGGGAGGGGAGAGGGAGAGGGAGAGGGGGAGGGGGAGGGGGAGGGGGAGGGGAGAAAAAAAGAAAAGTTTGCTAACAGAGTATCCAACAGAGGGCCAAAGATTCTCCTCCAAGTCCCAACCTACTGCTCTCTGGCAAAAAGTGGCAGAGCACAGAGCCATCTGGGGCTCTGGGTTGGTAGGTGTCATGGATGCATCCCAGTCCTTCCCAATGGATGGTTCACACTCCTCTACTCAATCCATGTGAGCCTGGAAGCTCAGAGGCAACAGCAGGACATGGAGAGAATCCAGCTGATTTTCATGAAGGAAGGTTTCCTGCTCACTACTTTTCTCTTTCTGCACTTCCTGGCTGAACTCAAAGAGGGTGAGCCCACATAAAAAGTCTCTCACCCTGGGAAAGTGGAGAGAAACCCACATAAAACAGAAAGGAAGAAATGCCTTTTTCTTATTATTGTCGTTATTATTAGATTTTGTCTTTCCTGGCCCTGCCCTAGGCAAACCCAAGCCTCCTGCTCTAACCTTGCAATGGTGGCGGTAACCGTGCAAGCACCAAACTCAGAAGGACCTTCCTCCTCACTAGAGGTCAGTGGCCAAAGAGCCTGGAGATAGAGCATGGAGCTAAGCCAGTACAATGTCAGGATGGAGCCGGTCATAAAATGTTGGGGCATGCACAGCATGGGTTTCTAGCCAGAGGGCAAGGAAAGAACCCTATAATGGGACATGGTATGGACAGGAGGGAGGTACAGACAGGGCTATATACAGCTACACGGGAATTCCTGGGCCATCCTGAGAAGTTCTATGTGTGGATCCTACATAGCAAAACCAATGGCTTTGTGTACTGGATACACACAGGATAGACACTGTGGTAGTGTCAACTGTCAACTTGACAGAGTCTATAATCACCTGGAAGATGGGTCTCAGGGGATTATCTTGATTCCTTTAATTTATACAGGAACCCATCTTAATTGTGGGTGGGACCATTCTCTGGGCAGGGGATTCTAGACTATATAAGTAAAGAAAGGGGGCTGAGAAGGATGCATGGATCCAATGCTCTCCTGACACAATGTGACCCAGCTGTTTCAAGCTCCTGCTACCTTGACTATCCTGCCATGATGTACCTTTAACCTTAAACTAAAATCCTTTTTCCTTGAAGCTGCTTTTGTCAGGGTATTTTATCACAGCAACAGGAAAAGAAACTAAGACAACCATGTTCATGCCTCAGGCTGGGCCATGGATAGTATTCGTAGGGCTGATACTAGGACCACCGCAGAGAAAATGGTGGAGGGAGGTCAAAATGCTCTGAGGTTGGATGTGGGGGTACACACCTGTAATCTCAGTACTAGGAGGCTAAGGGAGGAGGATCCCAAGTTAAGAGGTCAACCTGAGCTACATATTGAGATTTTGTCTCAAAAACATAAACTACTCAAGGCTGATAATAAGATGGTTCAGTGTTAGGTAAAGGCTACCATCAAGCCTGACAACCTGAGTTTTACCCCTGGGACCCACATGGTAGGAGAGAACCAACTCTCACAAGTTTTTCTCTGACCACAAGTACTGTGGATCATGTACACATTCATATTCTTTCTTTCTTTCTTTTTCTCTCTTTCTCAAAATAAATACAAGTTTAAAAGTTTAAAATAAGCTAATCAGCCTGACCAACTAGGTCCAGCCCCTACTGTAAGAATGCTTGCACCCTATGAGACTGAAACAAGACTCAACTTTATAGCATAATATTCAAAGTTCCAGGTACAACCCAAAACTGACATACAAAGAGCTAGGAAAGTCAGATTATTCTAAAGGAAAAAATAAGAGACACTTACTCTGAGCTCACTGTTATAGTCAACTGAAACTTGTAGGCAGCCACTATGCCATCCTCAAGAGTAAACTGAGTATGCCTAAGCCAAACAGAGGTAGTCTAGGCACAAAGCAGAAGCTATCACCAACCAGAAGCCTGAAAACCAAAAATAACCAGCACTAGGCATATACTTCAATATAGAGTGCTTGCTTAGCAGGCTCAAGGACCCAGGGTTCAATCTTAGCACCACCAAAAATGTGTACATGTACACATGCACATGGGTGTGTGTGTGTAGAAAATGAAAAAGATCAGGGCTGGTGAGATGACTCACATAAATGGCAGCTAAAACTGTAACTCCAGTTCCAAGGGAATTCGACACCCTCTTCTGACCTCCATAGGTACTACACTATATGGGTACAAATGTGCAGGTAATACACTCATACACATAAAATAAAAATAAGGGGCTGGAGAGATGGCTCAGAGGTTAAGAACACTGGTTGTTCTTGCAGAAGACCAGGGTCTGAATCCCAGAACCCACATGGTAGCTAACAACTGTCCGTAACTCCAGACCCAGGGGATCCAACATCCTCTTCTGACCTCCTCCAGCACTGCACGACACCTGTGCACTTACCTACAAGCAGGCAATACACACATACACATAAAATAAAAATAATACATAAATTTTTAAAAAATATTTTATTATTTTTACTTTGTGTGTATAAACGTATTGCCTGCCTGCATGTATGTGAGTGCACCCATGTCGTGCAATGCCACGGAGGTCAGAAGAGGGCTTCAGATTCCCCTGGAACTGGAGTTAAGGATGGTTTGTAGCTGCCATGTGGGTGCTGGGAATCGAACCCAGGTCCTCTGCTAGAGCAGTCAGCGCTCTTAACTACTGAGCCATCTCTCTAGCCCCAATAAATAAAATTTTTTAAAAAGTTAAAATAGGGCTGGGCATGGTGGCGCATGCCTTTAATCCCAGCACTTGGGAGGCAGAGGCAGGCAGATCTTTGTGAGTTCGAGGCCAGCCTGGTCTACATAGTGAGTTCCAGGACAGCTGGGGCTACGAGTCTCAATAAAGACAAAAAAAATAAAGTTAAAATAGCTGGGCATAGTGGCGCGCGCCTTTAATCCCAGCACTCAGGAGGCAGAGGCAGGGGATCTCTGTGAGTTCGAGGTCAGCCTGGTCTCCATAGTGAATCCAGGCCAGCTGGGGCTACAGGGAGACCCTCAAAAAGACCAAAAAGAAAAGTTAAAATAAATAAAAAATAAAAATAAAATAATGAAATAAAATTAAAAGATCGATAAAAATAAAACAACAGCAGATGAGACCATAGAAACATGTAGATGACAGAGGAAGGAGCCAGGGAACATAAGACAGAGCTTCAGAAATTATCCAGTGTAAGCAACAGGGAGTAGACTGGAAAGCAGACTGAACTGAGGTACAGGCACAGTAAGACCACGTTATTGGTCACTGGAGTCCCAGAGCAGAGAGAGAAAAACAACCGTTGTGGTACACACACACACATGCATAAATGTAATTAAACAAATAAATATGTATAACAACCTGGGGATGTGGTTCAATTGATAGAGTGCTTGCTTAGCATACACAAAGCTCTGGGTTCAATCCCCAGCACCTCATAAATCAGGTCAGGCATGACAGCACATGCCAGTAATTTCAGCACTCAGGAAGTAGAGGCAGGAAGATCACAAGTTCAGGGTCATCCTCAGCTATATAAGGAGTTCAAGGCCATTCTGGGCCACATAAGACTCTCACAATAAATAAATAAATAAATAAATAAATAAATAAATAAATTCTAAAAATCTAGGTCCAATGGTGAGTACATACAGTCTATAATAAAGTAGAATTGCTTGCGCCTAGGTAAGTGAGACCAGTCTGGGCAACAGACAAAGACTTAGTCTCAAGGAAATAAAAAATAAATAAAAGGGCCAGGCGTGGTGGTACACACCTTTAATCCCAGCACTTGGGAGGCAGAGGCAGGGCCAGCCTGGTCGACATAGTGAATTCCAGGGCAGCTGGGGCTACAGGGAGACCCTGCTTCAAAAAGACAAAAAAATTTATAAAACTGTCTAGTAGGATTTTCAGTACTCGTAGATACATGAAAACCACTACCCAGAAGGTTGGGGAGGGGTTGTATAGCTGCCTTCTTTTCACTCCTTGTGACGTGGTAGCACACTGTTCTAGGTAGGCTGTGAAACATTCGGGTGAACAGAAACTCTTCGTATTCCAGACAATGGAACAGTATTTGAAAATAAAAAGAAATGAGCTCTCTCTCAAAGGGCTAAAAAGCATGAAGCTAATGCAAACTCATACTGCTTACTGAAAGACGTCAGTCTGAGAAGCTACACCCTATAGGGTTTTCCTCTGGGACATTTGGGAACCAGCGGAACTATGGAAACCACAGTTGCCAGGGGTGAAAGGGATGAATGGTGAAGCAGAGACTCCCCAGTAGAGAAGCCATTCTACATGGTTCTGCAATGGTGGGTTATATAATTATGTATCATCAAACCTTCAGAATGTTCCACAGCAAAAGCCCTACTGTAAACTGTGCACTCTGAGTGACATGTCAGTGTAGACTCATCAGTTGCAACAAAGAGTTATGCAAAGTTTCCCGGGTCAGGAAAGCTGAGGGAGGGAGAGCAACATTTGGGAATTGCTGTGACAAGTTTTTCTTGTTGCTGTGACAAAATATCTGAAAAAAGCAACTAAAGGAAAGGAGAGTTTGGCTCATATGTGAGGGTACAGTCCATCACGGTAAGAAAGCCACAGTGGCAAGATCATGAGGCAGCTGGTCACATTCTACCACAGACAAGAAGCAGAGAAATGAATGCTGGTGCTATGCTCCCTTTCTCCTTATTTAGTCTGGGACCCCATTAATGGTGCCACCTATACAGTGGGTCTTCCCACCTCAATTAACCTAACTAGAAACTGCCTCACAGTGTCACACCCAGAAGTTTGTTTCCTACATGATTCTAGATCCTGTCAGGTTGACAATATTAACCATCACAAGGAATTCTGT